GGGGGGGGGGGGGGGGGGGGGGGGGGGGGGGGGGGGGGGGGTGAAACAACTTGTGTGAAACAAAAGGTGGTACTAAGCAATGTGTGCATCATGTCTTGTTGCTTGTATCAGCTGTTTCTCTTTAACAAGATGTTGTGATGCAGGTTGCTGTTTTCTGGACCTGAGAAAGAAAACGTGAGGAAAGAGGTTTTGGAGCTGTCTCTGAAGTACAACTTTGTGACCCCACTCACATCCATGGTGGTCACCAAGCCTGAAGGGGAGAACACACAAGTCCTTCACAAACCAAAGGAGGGGGAAGCTGAAGGATCCAGAGCTCATGTATTTTCTGGTCAGGCCACGGGTGGTTCATCACATGGAGGTTTCCATCAACAAGCAAATAGTAAGAAGTGTCTGCATGAAAAAATGTCAATGGGTAATTAATACAAAATGATAATGTAGGTTATATAAAGCGTGTCAATTGTTGTGGTAAAATAAATAACCAATGACCCGCCTTGTTTTTTAGTAATAAATATTAGGACATCAGGTATGTAGTGAGTACATGCTTTACTATCAAACCCGACTGACTGAGTTTTTTCTTTCCACTGTTGCCTTTGTGCTTGCTCAAGATTGGAGACTCCGACAAATTGAAAACTCAGCGCAATCTGCTGCCTTCCTTAGATAAACGTTACTAATTGGCTTTTTTATGCATGTGAGTGTTTTGTTACAGTGCCCTGAGACAAGTTCTGTTGTGACTTGGAGCTGTATAAATAAACTGAATTGAACTGAGAGTTTTTTAGTTTACACAGTCCTCAGTTTAATGAACATTGTAAACTATAAAACAATAAAAATAAAAATAAAATCCCCATAAACTAAATAACTAAATTTATTTTACATCATTTGCAAAATTTTTGCAGAAATATTTTCTTTTCTTTTTCCAAACTTATAAATTGAATTTAGATGTGTTTACCATGATATGAACTGATCAATAAGAAAACATTAATGCGTTTCAGCCAAAGTCATGTTGTAGTGTGCAAACAAATTTATTATTCTTTCTAAAGTTTTGCAGTTTTACAGCAGTATTTTCATTTTATGCCTTTCCTTGACTAGCATTTTCAAAGCAGCTTGTTCCTGGCCCTCCTGCCAACCCTGGTATTCCAAGTCGTGCACGTCGTCCTTCTCATCCTGGTGAAGCTTTTTTCTTTCATCCTTTTGTTCCTCAAAGTAAAATTAACATTCTGTTAAGAGCAACACCTCAGAAAATGTATATTAATGTTTGGAAATTAATTAACAATATTTAATGTGCAAACTAGTAACTGTGAATTTGTTACCAAAACAAAACATACTAATCTGTACAAATAGACTGGTAAGAAATGACAATTTGATGTGTTTGAACATTTTTTAATCACACACTTGAAGGGAGAGCAATAATTTGTTTACTCTTGTAATGTTTGTTTATCCCATGAAACAATCCTTCAGTAATTTAAACAGATTAGTACAGATTTTTGTAGAAGGTAAATCAGATCATATTCTTGTATACCTTTGTTGTGTTTTTGTTCTTATTTTGTCGAAATTTTAGTTTTAAAATGTTAGTGTTTGTCTTCAAGGTCGTCATCTGCATCGTCTAAATGATCGTCTAAATGCAAAAGGTAAATATTTTCATTGAACGCATCTTAAATAATTTTAAATTTAGTTCAATTTAGTTCAGTTTACTATTGGAAACAGGCACCGTCCAGATGTAACTTTCAGTACAATGAAAAACTTTTATAGTACATTTCAGGTTACTACTGAGTGTTCATGAATTAAAAATGCTCAGCAGACATTTAAAACATTATTTTCCTCTGGTAATATAATATTTTTTAAACAATCTAGGCCCTGTGAGGTTGAATCTTGGTTGGAGCAGAATATTTGAACATGTATAAATATATAAAAAAAAAATCCTTGCTTGCAGGTTTTGTGTCTTCCCAACCCAACTTTATCGGCTTTTTCGACTACGATCATGATTTTCTATCATCTGGTAAAGTATTTCAAATATCATACTTTGACTTTTCTTTACAGAAATATTACACAATTTTAGAAAAGTTATGTTTTTTTAATAAAGCAACAAAACATAACAGTAAGCCTACAAACCTTTTTTGGGGGTTGAATTTGTTTTTTTTATTTTTACTTTGCTGTTGTGCTTTCCTTAAAATTACTTATTTTCTGACTTTAACTCTTGAAATCTAAATTATTATTATTATACATTCATTTTTACTTTTTGGTGGAATTTGACACTGGTTTCAGTTTTGCTTGTGAGGAACATATAACTCCAACAAAACATGACAAATGTAAATTGTGTTTTTGTTATTTTTTGTCTAAAATTTTGCTTTAAAAATGTTACCGTTTGTGTTAAAGATAGTCATCTGCATCATCTAGATATAAACTTGAGTACAGTCAACAACTTTTCTTGTACAGTTTGGTTTGCTATTGTGTGTTCATTCATTGAAAATATTCAGCAGACATTAAAAACATTTATTTTCCTCTGGTAATACAATATTTTATAGACAGTTTAGGTGCTGTGAGGTTGAATCTTGATTGGAGCAGAATATCTGTTCACATTTAAAATATCCTTGTTTGCAGATATTGTGCATTCCCACGACAAAGCCCGGTCTGAAGATGATTCTGTTCTTGTGATGGCAACATCTGGTAAAGTGTTTCAAATATCATATTTTGATTCTCTACTGAAATGTTACACCAGTTTAGAAAAGTTATGTTTTTTTTTAAATAAAGCAACAAAATAATATAAAGTCTAAAAACTTTTTTTTGGGGGGGTGGGGGGTGGGGGATTTGTTTTATGCTTTGCTGTTGTGCTTTTCTTAAATTTATTTATTTTCTGATTTTAGCTCTTGAATTCTAAAACAATATTATATATACATTTTTGCTTTTTTGGCGGAATTTAACACTGGTTCCAGTTTTGCTGTCAAGATTTGCTTGTGAGGAACATATAACTCCAGTAAAACATGACAAATGTAAATTGACTAGTCATTAAATTTGCTTGACTGTGACTTCAGTTAAACTGTTGTTGGAAGTAAAAGCTGTTTATTTTCATGACATGTGTGATCTAACATGGTGTCACTCTTTCGTTCTAGCTCCTGTTTCCCACAGACTTTTACTGAAAGCGGAGAATCAGTCTCAGCCGTTGTGCTTTGACGTCACAGGAGCTGCCATTCTGAAACTTTTTCACCATCCCAGCAGGGGTCAGTGCGAATTCTTTGTGCACCATTGAACAAAGTCCATCCATCCATCCATTATCTTTACCCATTTATTCCATTTTGGGTCACGGGGGTCGCCGGTGCCCATGTCCAGCAATCACTGTGCGAGGGGCAGGGTACACCCTGGACAGGTCGCAAGTCCATCACAGGGCCACATAGAGACAAACAACACAAACAACCATTCACTCTCTCACTCACACCTAGGGACAATTTAGAGTTACCAATCAGCCTAACATGCATGTTTTTGGTCTGTGGGAGGAAACCGGAGTACCCGAGAAAACCCACGCATGCACGGAGAGAACATGCAAACTCCACCCAGAAAGGCCCCTGGACCGGGGTTTGAACCAAGGACCTGCTCGCTGAGAGGCAGCAGCTCTACCAGTTGCGCCACCGTGCTGCTTTGAACAAAGTCGTCTCACTTATCTGCTTGCTGTGTTTATGTCCTGATTCATGGTGTGATTTTTATTTGATATGTTTGTATCAGAGGTTTATATGAACGGTGAGCTGGATTCAGTAACAAATGGAGGCTTTAAAATGATTGTCATCCATGTTGGACGTGACCAACATGTTGAGGTTGACACGGAGGGAGTCACTCTTCGAGATGGACAGTCTACAACACGCCACACAGGACTGGATCCCATCACAGCTGGAAGGTGAGGTTGAACAGAAACTGAACTGTTTTAGAGGACGGTGTTTATTATGAAGCATATCAGAGTTACAGCACTTATAGGCATAGTTACGTGTGCTTTTTAAACAAGATGTGAGTAAAATACTCCAATCTTTCCTTTAGCTGCTTTTCATTCTGGATCATGGGGGAGCTGGTGTTTAAGACTGGGCTTAAGACTTTCCTTTTAAAAAAAAAATCCTATAGTTAAGGTTGTCTTGTCATGCTGTCTTAAGCTTTGATTACTAGAGGACAAATTGACCACATTTCTTAAAATGAATTGTTAAAATTGAATAGTTTTCATTTCATACTATTTCTATCTTAACACGTGATTCTCCACCAGCCATTGTGTATCTATTCCTCCCAAACCCAGCCTGTCGAAGCAGATGGCCACTTGTCCTGAGCCTGGTTCTGTTAAAGGTTTCTTCCTCATGAGGGAGTTTTTCCTTTCCACTGTCGCCTTTATGCTTGCTCAGGATGAAACTTCTGTGATGGAGTTAAACTCAAAGCAGTCTGCTCCTCAGATAAATAATGTTAAATTATTATTTTTAAATATGAATGTTTCTGTTCACTTATTTTATAAATGAATACTTCTGTTCAGTGCCCAGAGACAACTTTTGTTGTGACTTGGCGCTATATAGATAAATCAAAATGAATTGAACTATCTCCAGCAGTCATTGTGTAAGAGGCGGAGTACATACTGGACAGTTTCATTGCAGGGACATTTAGGAACCAGCGGGACAAAGAACGATTCACTGAATAACTCACACCTAGGGACAGGTTTATATGTACAAACCATGCATGCATGTATTTGGTTTATAGGAGCAAAACCTCACATGCACAAGGAGAACATACAACCTCCATACAGAAAGCCAGGAGGCAAACATACGTCCTGCTTGCTGTGAAGCAACAGCTCTAACCACTGCCCTGCCACATTAATAACAAGTCATATCAATTACAAACTGAACATTTTATAATGAGCTTATAGTGGCAGTCAGATCAACAAATGCATGCTATGTAACATTGAAGATAATGGTGCTTTAATGTGTAGATTGGTTGGGTAGCACTATCTGTAAACTGTGTGTAATGTGACTGGGCCAAACACAGTGATTTAGCAGAAAGCAAATACAGGTCCATGTATGGAGGAGTAAATAATTAAAGAATATTTAAATCAGATTTGTTTCTATCTGTGGGTAATAAACATCTGATTATAAGATCATCATCTCAAATTTTATTGGAGGTTGGCAACACAGTAAAAACAAAACATAGTTTACATTTTTTTATTCAGTATTTTAAACAAGCTGCACAAAAGCCCAGTAGATTAACACTGTTGTCTGTTGGCATAATGATTCTGGATTGAGACGCCTGGCAGAGACTTTTCTCTGAGAGACTTCCATTTTCCAAACTTTCATCTGAGGTTGTACCTCAGGTACCTGAGGTTGGACTTTTGTGAATATTTTTGTAACCTTACTATAAGTAAGTCTCAACTATAAAGCTTCCCAATACATTTGACTCCAGCCCAAAAAATAATAAAAAATTTAAAAGCTATCAATTACCCATCCATCCATCCATTATCTTTACCCGCTTATTCCATTTTGGGTCACGGGGGTTGCCGGTGTCAATGTCCAGCAATCACTGTGCGAGGGGCGGGGTGCACCCTGGACGGGTCGCAAGTCCATCACAGGGCCACATAGAGACAAACGAGACAAACAAACATTCACTCTCTCACTCACACCTAGGGACAATTTAGAGTTACCAATATTAATTATTAATTAGTTACTAACATGCATGTTTTTGGTCTGTGGGAGGAAACCGGAGTACCCAGAGAAATCCCACGCATGCACGGAGAGAACATGCAAACTCCACCCAGAAAGGCACATGGACCAAGGTTTGAACCAAGGACCTGCTCGCTGAGAGGCAGCAGCTCTACCATTTGCGCTACCGTGCTGCCGCTATCAATTACCATTAGGCTAAATATATTCCTAGTTTTTAAATTTTCCATACTTTCTCGTACCTGCTTTGATGCAACAGACACTCTGTTTATGTCCATAAAGACAAACCTCATACTGCCCAGATCTGCACCTCAACAACCTCAGCATGGATAAAACTAACCAAGATCAGTAAAAATTGCTGTGATTGTATAAAAGTTCATGGAGACTAATACAGCAGTTAATTCTTGGTTGTGTAAATGTTTCCAGTGTGACGGTGATCAAGAGAGACAAAGAAATAGACGTTGCTGCTGAAGACGTGCGGGTGATCATTTTAGTCCATGAGAAGGACGGTGAGAAATTCCTTTGGCCAGTTTTAAGACAGAGACCATCTGCAAGCAACACTGAAGGAGTTTTAGGTGAGTAATAAATGTCTTCATGTTTACCATCTGTGTATAACTTGAAAATGTTTCTGTTTGTGACAGAAAATAAAAGATGATGTGTCTTTACCACATGAAGTCACTGTTGCAATCTAAATATCTTCAATTCTTTTACCTAAACTTGTGTTGTTGCTATAAAAATTTTGACAAGAAGCAAATTTCTAAATCATTCATTCATGTCTCCTACAGATAATTTCTGCTGTCAGTTTGTAGGCTGTAGATAAAATAAAAATTAATATCTCACTTCATGAGGTCTTTTGCTCCATAAAAATTTCACAAAATTATCAATTACATTTTTTTCCAGTCTCCTTTGCTGTTTTTCCCCTAAATAGCAAATCATTTAAATAATGAATTATTCCTATGACTTTTTATAACTGTTTATTGTTGTCACTGTTGTCCATTGTTGTCATCATTCTTTGTTGAAATCAGGTCTCTCTTGTAAATGAGTCCTTGAGGCTCAATGGGATTTACCTGTCTAAATAAAGGTTGAATGAAAATTCCACTGTGATAATTTTTTTCTTCTTCTTCTTTCGGCTGATCCCTCTTTAGTGGTCTCCATAGCAAGGCGTCCTCCTCCATCTCACTCTGTCCTCTGCATCCTCTGTTCTCACTCCAACTACCTCCATGTCCTTTCTAACTGCATACATCTCCTCTTTGGCCTTCCTTTTTGTCTTTTTCCTAGAAGATAAATTTCAGTCTCCTCCTTGTTCAACCTGTGCTGTACCTCTGATGATCTCATTCCTTATCTTATCCATCCTTGTCACTCGCAAGGAGAACATCAACATTAATGCTTATCAGTTCTGTCTCTTGTCTCCTTATCAGTGCCACTGTCTACAAACCATACAACACAGCTGGTCTCACCGCTGTCTTGTAAACATTTA